TCCCATTGACTATACTTAAAGAAACAGCATAATGAAATAAGAGAAAGTGTGGCAGGCCAAAATTCTAAAAGGAATATAAATGCAGGCCTGACACGTGGCTTAGGTAAATCAGATTCTTTATTGCAGAAAGACTATAGCTAGAGTATATATAAACAGATATTTTGCATTGTTTCATATAAAGAAGTAAAAGTTTTTATTAAGGTCTGTGCTCCCAGGTTTAAGCTCTAAGACTATGAATAAATAAACCATTCTGTTGAAGGTTTTCTTTTCAAACTTTTTGGGGAAGATACAGTTTGTTGCTTGCTTAGGACTAATTTTTTATGTATTATATGATTGCATTGTACATTAAAGTTACAAGACAAGACACTCAATTATCCCATTAAATATTTGACATTGAAGGAAATATCAGTTTAGTTTCTTCTAACTACTACATCTGTTATTCTGCAATTCCATGAACTATGACTCACTGGCTTATTGTTCTTTTTTTCCTTTAAACTTACAGGATGTATGACATGGTTTAAAACTTCATAGGTCATCATTTTTCAGTTTATTTAGCAGGAAATTTTAAATTGAAAAACCTTCTGGTGGTCCCATTGTATTATTTTTAGGCAGCTAACTTCAATTTCCGTTGAAGTTTAAATTTCTCTAAGCTGTGTTTCCTTTCCTACTTATTTCACAAGCGTTAAAATATCTACTATTCCATTTCCATTAGAAAACACACATAGATTCCATAATGGATACAGGTATGATAAACCATATTTGTAAAGTGGTTTATTTTATTATTGTGAATAAAAGAATCTACATAACAGAAATTGTCTTTTGCTTGACAATTCTATTTCCTTTGTATATTTACAAGTCTGTATCTAGTTATTTAAAGAATTGGATATTTTCTTTCCTTTTTTTAAAGATCTCATGCTACTTTCTCCATTCTTCTTAATCATTAGCTAAATGTCATAGTTACAGTTTCAGACTGAATGATCATTTTACACTCACTATGCAAAATAACATTATTGAAATAAGAATTGTATTGTATCAAGCTGGATGCAAGAGAGTTGGTTCTTTTTATCTTTTTTGTAAGGTGGAAGGATGCTTATATAATTGCATACCAGGGAGAAAAGGTTAGTATAAATAAACCTCTTTCTGATCAGTTACTATATGGATCGGCAGTTAGATTTTTACAATCAGACATATTGATTTATATATTATTGATGTAGTTATTTATTGTACTCAGGCAACAGTTTATTAAAGGTCCAATCAATCAAAAACAAATAACATCCCATGTGCAGCAGAACTGATATAAATTCTAGAACCCCAGGCTATTACACTTTGTTCTTAATTTAAGATACTTCTCACATATTCTTTGAATGTCAAATACGACAGGATCAAAGAGTTTTATTAAAATGATAGAAATATCATGCTATCAATCGCAATTACTGCTTCTTTTATTTCTGTATGAAACAACATGATGTATTTATAAAAGAAGCAGAGCTTTTATTGCAACAGCATCATACTGGTTTAGTCATTGCCTTTCTAGACATCCCTGATGATCCATCTGGTATATGGCCTAACATAACGCTTAATTTCATTCAGTGTATATAATTTTGCAAAGTTATCTGCATAAAATATCTGGTGTTATTGTAGTTGGTTCATAATTTATGTCTTCTGAGGGGAGATAACATGTTGACATGTTTTTTTAAAAAAAACTACAAATAGTGTAGTTGTGCTGATTCATCCAATACTGGGAATATTGTATTAACAAAATATATGAAGGGAACTCTAACATCAGCTAATGCTAACAACAGTCACACTTTGGAGAACATGAAAGAATTGCCTTCTCCATATGATTGGAAGCATTCTTTAGAATTTGTAATTGGAACTTTCAATTATTCCTTTTAACTTCTGACCTGCTAATACCTGTTTCTTTTTTAGCATCATAGGAATGCTTCTAATATATTTTCTGTAGACTTGGTATAACATTACTTAGACACTAGCAAATGAACACCTATATGAAAACTAACATAAAGTTTATGTCCAAAGGCAGGAATCAGTTAGATTTATTGTTGGCATGCAAATGATGTATATAATCTTAAGTAAAAGGGTATAAGTAATAACTAAAACAAGCCATTTCCAAAAAGCCAACTTCTACTGCACTGAGCTGGAATGTAACATACTAAATTCCTCTAAAGTTTTAAAATGTAAATATAAGTAAAATAGGGATTTTATCAAGTATTCACAAAACTTGAATTGAACTGCTGGTGAGTTATCAAGACAGCAAGCAGTCAACTGATAAGTGAACCGTATCAGTGAAATGATAGTGAAGACCCTTTGGGAAGAGAAATCAAAGGAAGATAGTGATAACTATTTAACCTATTTTGATGAGTTAGTAGAAAAAAAAACATTTCTGGAAATATACTTTAATCATATCAGTTGTTATAGCTCAGGATACATTTGCCATTAATTATTGTCACCTGCAGTGACAAACATTCTTCCCCCTATGTTTGTTTCCCACTGTATAGATAATCCTTGTTTAAGGACCACAATTAGGACTGGAATCTTAATTGTTGAGGGAACAATTCTTCGCTCAATAGTTATAATTATATCCACCTTCCATCATAGGTTATTAAGTCCCAGATAAAGAGTTCAGAGATGCCTCAGTAGGATAGGGAAGGCCCTGGAAAATCAAGTGCAGATCTTGAATGAATTGGAGAGCGCTGTAAGATGGCGCAAGTGCAGAGAAGTTGGAGAAAAAAGACACAACCACTCCTGGAAACCTCAACAGCCCAGCCTGGCCAGCAGCCTGGTGAAAAGACTTCATAGCTTGTGAAGCACTAAATGCCTAGGAAGCTCCAAGAGTGTGGCACAAAACAGTCATCCCACACAAAAGGCCAAGTGCCCAGGAAGCCTTAGAGGCCCAGCCTTGCTTGAGAGTCAGGGTGGCTGAAAGCAGCACACACCTTTCTCCATAGTGAGGGGGGAGGAGTATCCAGAATGGGTTGACNCCTCTGCGCGGGGGTTTCTTGCCATGTGCGCGGCCGCGCAGCCGCGCACCTTAGAGGGAACAGTGGCCGCAGCCATTTTAAATGGCAAGGAGAAACGGCTCCAAGAGGACTGCAGAGCATCGAGGCGAGGGAAGGAGCGGTTCCGCTGGAATCTCCCCAGGCGATCGGACCGTGTGATCGGTGGTCGCCATTTTGAACACGTGGGCGCATGCGCAAGGCGTAGAGGCATACTGCTATCAGTCGCCGCATTGCCTCAGCACCGAGCAGCAGCAGAAGAAGGAGTCTTCGGGCCTAAACTCCGCCGGTTATCTGGGGAGAGCCAAATCGGTGCCCAGGTCTCTTTCGGCCCGCGGATCAGCGGGTAGCGAAGAGGATTGCGGAACTGAAGGAGCGCCGGATCCGCAACTACAGAGAGACCTCATCATTGAGAGAGGAGGTAGAGAAAGTGAGCAAACACCTAACCGTGAGTACTGCGATGGCAGAGGCCACCAGGAGCAAGGGAGTGGCTGCCCCAGGCTCACCAGGGGGTTCAGACCTAGGCGAGGGAACCTCTTGGGAGGTAGGCCCTGGGTCCAGGGGGAGATCGCTTCCCAGGAAGTACTCCTCCAAGTCATCCAGGAGGGAGAGGCCTAGGCAGGAGGCCCCCCTCACTAGAGCGGCTGGCAGGACTAGGGATACCATCAGCCCCTCTCCAGCCAGATCACGTTCCCCCCGCAGGCCCTCTCCCCTAGCTGAGGAACCTGGCACTCCAGGCCCAGGGAGAAATTCTAGGGAGGGTAGCCCTTTGTCTCCTCCCTTATCACCTTCCCACTCTCCTAGGGCGAGAGAGGATCCCTTTGGACGCAGGGCAGAGCCCCCCAGGCAACGTTTGCCCCCCCCATCCCCTGGCTTCAGACACGGCAGGGAGCCCCCTAGCCTCTCCCCTGCCTATCCAGAGCTCCCTGAAAGTTTCCAGGCTGTGTTAGCCAAGGCCAATGCGGATGGCATTGCCTCAGGCATGCAGCACCAATTCCAGGGAGCCAGGCACCGGTCTACTCGTGTGGCCCCACGAGAGCACAATGTCCAACCTGAGGCCTTAGCCTCCAGGGACACCAGGGCCTCTTCAGCCTCCACTGCCAGTGAGGGCTCAGAGTCTGAAGGGGAGGAGCAGAAGGATTTGGGGTTCTCAGAGGATGAGGATGCTTCAGTCCCAGAGTCACCTACCATCACAGGGTTATTTCTTCCTGCCCTATTCAGTTCCTTGCTGCGCAAGGCCAAAGCCACTGCAGACCTGGACCCCCCACCGACTGAAAATCAGAGCTCAGCTACTCCTAGCACTAGTGGGGGGAAGAGGAAGCAGGGCCCCTTCCACAGGCCCCAGGTAGAGAAGGAGGAGATTCCCACACCAGACCTCTTCTTGGAGGTCCTTAAGTCCTAGTGGTCCAAGCCAGGTTCTTTCCCCACCCCAGGGAGTAATGATCACAGGTTTTATAACCTCAATGCCGCTTTCTCCCAAGACTTGCAGGTCCCTCCCATGGATGCCACAGTAGCAGCCTTAGCTTCCGCCTCTACCATGGTAACAGGAGATATCTCCAACTGCCTGAAAGCAGAGGACAGGAGAGCGGAGCTGGTCATGCGAAAGACCTTCCAGGCTATTTCATGGGCAATCAAGGTGGCTGCAGCCGCCTCTTTCTTCAAAAGGTCCACCCTTTTATGGCTGGAGCAGATCCGGGACAGGACACCAGCATCAGACATGAGGCTGCAGCAGGACATCATCAAGCTGATGGCGGCTACCCAGTTCTCCATAGTGAGGGAGGAGGATTATCCAGAATGGGTTGACCTTGTCCTCTCATGATTGGATGAGTCAAATAAGCTCTTTGGGCAATGCCCCCTGGCCACCAGTTATTCCTCAGTTATTGACTCATCTACTCACTGGAAGGTCACCATTCTGGATCTCCAGTAATTTACAAAGGATTAAGGAAAATAAGCATGGACCTGGCGAATCTTGCCTCCCTACATCGCACACAGCCTCCTGCAAGGACTGGACTGCTCATTGCAGAGGCATTAGCCAAGGGCGGGGGAGGCAGGCAAAGGCCAAAAGGAGGCATATCTCCATCAAGGGGGTTAAAGAGGCAGGCGGTGGATCAATCCCCCCCCCTCCAAGCCTACCTCCAAGATGAATCACAGAGGCAGCTGCCACAAGGCCTGCCGCAGGAAGAACCCCCCCCCCCAACCTGAGGAAAGATTACTACTCTGGCAGGGCGGCAGAAAGGAACCCCTCCCTCCAGGGGAGGATTCCCTTCGGCTTTGTCATCCAGTGTTCCAGCAACCTTGCTATCACAATTTATGCAAGCCCTATTCTGTCCTTTCTGATTGCCTGAGTAGCAGGAGAATCCCAGAGGCTTCTCCTTTAAGAACACTTCCCCGTTAAGGAAGAGAAAGAGGGTGGGGGAGAAGGCTCTCAGCTATCGGCAGTTAACAGCAGGACACCACGGGAGAGCAGCAGCTCTTAGTAGCACAAGCTGTTTTTTGGTTTTTTGTTGCTAAGTCCTGAGGGCAGGGCTATGGAATTTGCCCCGCAGAGCCATTTAGGAAGAAGGGGGAGGAGAGGCCCCACGTGGCCCAAGATGGCAGCCCCCTGTAGCTGGGAGGACACAAGCAGGAATCAAGTCCTTGCTGCTAAAGTCTGCAGCTCCACTGGAGGGACAGAAGAGCCTCCAATCAGGTTAGAGATTACCCCTGAAGGCCTTCCAAGGGTGGGGGNCATGATTAAAAACGCAACATTCATACCATTCGGGCGGGTAACAATCTTTAGCCCCAGGCTAAAGAGATATCACCTCCAGCATGATTCCCCTCCCAAATACTGAAACCCCTCCCCCCCAATTACTATGGCAGCGGATAGCAAGCAAAGCGATATAGAAGCTGACATTTGGCCCTCCTGTAGAAAAGGTGTTAGTCCTGGAGGGCAAATAGAAAAATAGAAAGCACACAAAACAACAGAAAAATAAAAACAGTACAATAAAATCAAGGTTTATCAGGTTATTTAGAATGAAACATTTGTAAAAGTTTTGGGGCCCTGACATCTCGCTTGTTCACCCACTCCGAGTGGGAGGAGGGGAAATGTTTCCAAGCAACTAAATACTGTATTTTTCCCCTATGGTTTGTGGAATCAAGGATCTCTTTGATTTTGAAATGCTGTTCTCCCTCAGTAAGGAGGGGGACAGGAGGAGGGTTATGGGCCAGTCGGAGTGAGGAGGTATGTTCAGGTCTCAGTAAGCTAACATGAAATATGGGGTGAATTCTCCTAAGGGTTTTGGGTAAGTCCAACTGTACCGTAACTGGGTATACAATCCTCACAATGGGGAAAGGGCCCACATATTTTGGGCCGTTTCTTTGACTTTTGGGTAGTTTGACGGTACTTTGTGGACAAGAAAACCTTATCACCAACGTGGTACTCTTTTTGCTTAACTCTTCTTATCAGCTTGTTTCTTATGTGCTTGATGAGCTTTATCTAGCACTTTTCGAGTCACAGGCCAGATGACTTGTAGCTGTTTGATCCACTCGGATACAGAAGAGTTTTGTGGTTCATCCTGGGACAATTCAGGGATAGGCACAAAATCCTGACCAAAAACTACTTTGAATGGGGTAAACCTGGTACTGATATGTATAGAATTATTGTATGCGATGTTTGCAAAAGGCAATAGGTCGCCCCAATTATTCTGTTGATAATTGATGTAGCACCTGAGGTACTGCTCTAGAACCAAGTTAGTCCGTTCACAAGCCCCATTTGTCTGCAGATGGTGGATGGAGCTTAGACCTTGGGCAGATCCTAACAATTTTAGGAACTCCCTCCAAAAGTGGGAGGTGAATTGGACCCCTCTATCTGAGATAATGCGTTCAGGAACACCATGTAACCTACACACATGTAGGATTAACGGTTTAGCCAGTGTTTTCACCAACGGAATCTTGGAGCAGGGCATGAAATGCACTTGTTTGGAGAACAAATCTGTGACCACCCAAATGACAGTGTTGCCATTACTTTTCGGTAGCTCGACAATCCATGGATATCTCCTTCCAAGGGGCACGAGGTCTGACAACACTTTGGAGTAGTCCGTGTGGTTTTCCTGGTGGTCTCTTTGCCGCAGCACAAACAGGACAGCTAGCAACGTAGGATTCAATGTCTTTTTTCAAAGAAGGCCACCAAAACTGTCTTTTAACCAAATGTAAGGTCTTCGCGAACCCAAAATGTCCAGCAGCTTTTGAATTGGGCCTGTTGGAGGACAACGCTTTTTAGACTAGCAGGCACATACAACTTGGCCCCCACCCATGCAAGGCCTTCCCGCATGGGGCATTCATTTGAGTGGGATTTGAACCCGCCTCCCTCAAATGTTTTGTAAGCTCTGTGGGTACGTCTAGGTCAACTTTTCCTTGGCTTCTGGTTACTACTGGAACCGCTAGCTGCTTGGAAGGAATAACTGGATGAATCACCTCCGACCTGGCACTGTTATACTGGGGCAGCCTGGATAGGGTGTCTGCCATAAAATTCTTCCCTCCTGGAAGGTATCTCAGAGTAAAATTGAACCAATTAAAGTGTTGTGCCCAGTGAACATGTTTGGGTGACAGTTTCCGTGGGGTTTTCAAAGCCTCGAGGTTCTTATGATCAGTCCACACCTCAAAAGGATGCTTGGCTTCTTCGAGGAAATGCTGCCAGGTTAGCAGGGCCCATCGGACTGTAAAAGCTTCTTTTTCCCAAATTGCCCACCTCCTTTCTGTCTCAGTCAATTTCTGGGAGGTGTAGGCACAAGGTTGTAGGGTTCCATCAGCATTAGTTTGAAGTAGTACTGCCCCTACTGCCACGTCACTGGCATCAGCTTGGACCACAAAAGGTGCATCCATGTCGGGATGTTTTAAAACAGGTTCAGCTGCAAACAGTCATTTCAGTTTCTCAAATGCCGCTTGGCATTCCATTGTCCACTTCAGGGGCCGACTAGGTTTTGGTTTCGCTTCCCTATTTGACTTTAGGAGATTCATAATTGGCAAAGCAATACTAGCGAACGAAGGGATGAATTGGCGGTAAAAATTGGCAAACACTCCAAAAAGTTGAAGTTGCTTGTGGGTGTGGGGAGGCACCCATTCTGTGACAGCTCAGACTTTCTCCGGGTCCANGAAAAAGAGAAGGAAGCAAATTTAGATACTTTATTATTAAAGGGTATAATAACAGATATTTGCAAGCTTGACAAGACATTCTCCCTTCTCTTACACCAATGAGACTCAAGATAGAGCAATCTTGAATTTCCTTCTTACTCTTCCCCCTTTTCAGGGCTATGTTGATATTATATAATGACTGTTGCATACCTTCTTCAATGCTATCTCTGTGCTCAATATTACTATGCCAGAGAGCTAATTTGAATGTGGGTCTCTTCAGTCTGTTATCTACATAAATGTTTTTCCAACTTGGCAACTTTAAGATATGTGGCCTTCAAATCCCAGAATACCCCAAGCTACCTATTATAGGAATATTACTGAAGCAGAGGTGGGTTCCTACCGGTTCAGACCAGTTCAGCCGAGTAGGTAGTAACTTGGCATGCCACACCCCCAGATCAGTTCTCTCAGTGGCGCCATAGGCACCACCATCTTGTTTTTTTGCTTCTGCACATACGCAGAAGCATTTTTTTAGTACTGTGCATCAAGCGCGCAAACATCCCTGAGTGAACCAGCAGTAGCAGCAGCCAGAACCCACCCCTGAACTGAAGGTATCTTTGACCATGGATAGCTGTGTCCTCCTCTTCATTAAATGTTAAACCCTCACAGGGTAAATTATCTAAGACTTTCTTTGAGATGATGGATAATCTAGTACTAATAGATTCATGGAGACACAATGTAGTTCTCAACACAAAAAGATGTTTGCAGCATGCAACCATTGCATTGCTCAAAAGCAGCCTGGATACCAGCGGTAAATCAGGAGACTTTGCAAAAGTGCCTTTCTTTTCTCAGCAATTGGCTCTCATAAACATATACCTGCCTAAAAGTCTGTAGAGATTCTCAGTCATCCAGGTCATGGTTTTGAAGCCGTCCATGTTGTGCTTATTTTGAAGGCCAAACAAGGAGTGGCTGGGAGGGGAGGGACAAGGCTCGTGGGTTTGCTGAACTGCATAAAAAGTTAGCTACTGGTTCTCCCGAAACAGTGCACACTGGCTGAATCCCACCACTGGCTATTTTATACAGTACAATCACTTAGAGAAGAAAAAATCCCAGGAAAAGACACAAAGGATATTGGACAAAATTAGACAGAAAGAAATTCAGCTGCAAAGGACACCTACGGATCCTAAAATTTTACACCATATTAAATTGTTACAGCAACAATTATCTATGTTAACTGTACAGGAAATTGTTAAACATGCCTCCTTCAAAATTCAAGAAAGGAAACCCCCAATTCCATTGTTTTAGAGAAAAGGTACTTTTACTGAATATGAAGTGATAGCATCGCAAGTAAAGCAAGATCTGAGGCTAAAAGGGGTGAAATTTTACGTAACAAAAGTTTACCCAAATCCCTCCCCCCAACAACCCCAAGCTAAATGTCCAATCTCTAGTCCTCAAGGGTGTCATGTGGGATGCATCTTCAGGAGGCCTCATCCATCTGGTATGCAGAGGCAGTTGATCTTGACCAAACCTAAACAGGACCATTCAGCATGCACAGAAGATGGTGAGAACAAAACTCCCTCTTTAGATTAGATTAGATTAGATTA